CATAGCCTCTCTCCTCCTTTTCCTACAGAGAAGTGGTAGCAGAGGGATGAAAGAGAAAATCTCTGCTCCCAGGGCACTGCTTCTGGAGAATCCCTGAGCTCTTTGTTGTGGAGGGGAGGGCAAAAGCTACAGCACGGAATTGTGGGAGCCTTGCTTTGAGGATCAGTGCACACATTGTGCGCCCTGGGCACGTGTTCCTTCATGGGCATGGGGACAGTGTGCACAGGGACACTGTTACTCTCTGCGGAACCTGAAGCTCAGCTAGAGGAACAGGTGGGAAAGAGTGAGGGAGGAGAGTCTGGCTGGGGCCCAGCATTCCTGACAAAGGTTTACTCAGTGAGTCAGGCTGGCCTCAGCCTCCCCCTGAGGAAGGCCTAAAATACCAAATGAAGGAATAAATCTTCAGGGGGTGGGGATGGGGTGTTGCCTGCCTCTGCCTTCTCTCCAAGGGGTCCTTATGCTCGAGAGCTAGCAGCACTCCCTTACCTTACACTGCACCTGCGCCCTCCGCCCCCTGGCTGGGAACGCAATTGGGAAGGTACTGAATGAGGCACAATGCAAACATTTGTGTCGTGAGGATGGGAGGAGATGGGGAGTTCAGGTGGCTCACCCCTTCAATATACCCAATTTAGGATGATTTAGGGCAGTGGTTTGCAAGGTGTGGTTCCCAGAATGAGACATCAGCATCTGGGAACTTGCAGATTCAGCATCCAAGGGAAGCACATTTTCAGGCTGGTCCCTTATCCATTCAGTCTGAAACTCCAGGGGCAGGGCCCAGCAGTCTGTACTATACCAAGGTCTCCAGGGGATGTGGATACAGGCCAAGTTCGAGAACCACTGGTTTAGGGCAAGGGTTGAAGTCCTTTTCTTGTTTCTAAGAAGGACATGTACCACCCCATAACAGAGGGGCCTTCCCCCACCGCCGCACCTAACCCTGCCACACAGTGCCTGCCCCTCCCCTGAGGGTGAAGGTGTGCTGGGCAGGGGCCAGAGAGAGTCTGTGGTGACAGCATAGGAGGTGAGGCCCCGTGGGTGGTAAGGGGGGAAGGAAAGAGGTGGGGAGACTGCCAGGACTCATTTTCTCTTAACATGAATGCTCAGAGGGGGCCTAGGCCTCCCTGCCATTGAAACTGGTAAATTGCAGGATGATGATGGTGATATTACCAATAATGATGATAATAGCACCAATAACGTGAGGTCAGACAGGCACTTTCCCGTCTTCGGTCAAGGGGTAAGGTTGCGGCTTGGGTGCATTTGCTTCTGCCTTAGAGGAAAACCTGGATCCCAGCCAGCTCCGCTTCCCTGCGGGGAGGGCAGGAGGAGGGGAGGGGTGTGTACAGCCAGGGGCTCCGAGTCCTGGGCCCTCCCTCCCTGCTGCCAGACCCTCCCTGTCATCAGCCAGCTCCCCCCTCCTGGAAGGGGAGTCTGCCCTGAGTCTGGGCAGGTGAAGGGTTGGGGAGGCAGCCAAGGGGTAGGCAGTACCCATCTTCCACCCCCAAAAAGACCATCCGGTGGGTATTCAGTTTGCAGACAAGATGCCAGCCCAGGAGGTCAGGAGACAGCCAGAGGTAGGCAGGCAGCCGGGGAGAGGCTCACCCTGAAGAAGGTGAGGGCGCCGGGCCCTGCCTGCCTTCACACCTCCCAGGGCAAGCCACGAAGAGAAACCAGAGATAGAAACCCCAAGAGTTGGGGTAGGAGGCCTCAGCAAAGCCAAAAATACTTTTGAGCTGGAGTCTCCGCTTAGAGATGATTTCCTCCCTCCCTTGCCCAGAGAAACCAGGCAGAGTGGAGATCCAGAATCTCAAGGAGAGAAAAGGTCATCTGGCAGCATTCTCCTTCCGCATTATAGCCCCTGCCACCTGCACAACCCATCTCTCCTATTCTTCAAGATTTCCCGGGATGAAATATTTCCCCCAATGCTATAGGGTTTCCAGGAGGATCAAAGGGAACAACCAAGTACCCAAGCCCTCCATCTCTTCCCTCTTGCTGCCTGCCACCCTGCCCCCATGCTGGGCTTCAAACAGAGGAGGAAATCAGCACAAGGCCCTTGTCATCGCAAGCAGTGACTTGTGAACATGTGCTTGGGTTGTTTCTCCTTCACTACAAGAGGTTTGGGGCAGCTCACTGGGGGCTGTTTTTTTTTTTTTTTTTTTTTAAGAACTGTGTGTATGTTAAAGTCATTAAGGTTTGAAAAGGGGATGGCGGGTAGGGGAGTAAAGGCCGTTATATGGGAAGAGAAGAAAAATGACCTGTCTTCAGGCTGTCAACAGAGGAAACGCCTCTGCGCCAGGGAGTGGGAGAGGGGCTGGGGTCGGGGGCTTGAGCAGGCACCTCTGCGCCCAGATGGCTGGGAGCAGGGTGAGGGAAAAGGGTTCGTCGCTCAGTCCATGCCTTGGCCATGGCTGCCTGGGCCTGGGTTGTCACTGTGCCTGTGTTAGAGACAGAGAAGAGCTGGGAGACAAAACAGAAAAAAAACAGCTAACACTGACCGTGCGCTTCCTACACGTCAGGCACTGTATATGCACTCTGCACCTATTTTCCAGTGAATCCCCATTTTGCAGACGAGGAGACTGAGTCCCAGTGGTGCAGTACCTTGCCCAAAGTTACACAGTTAGCAAGTGGCAGACCGAGCCTGGGAACAGGCCACATGACACCATGGCTCACATCTTTGGAGACTTCGCTCTAGTTAAGACCAGCTCATTGTATGGAGTTGCTGCCCCTCAGGAATATTTGTGGCCACTGTCCCCCACCCCAAAGCAGCCACGGGTGCTGGGGCAGGAGACACCTCAGCTGGGGGGTGGGCAGGAGAGCAGAGGCAGCAGGGGAAAGAATCCCAACTGCTCCGGCCCTGGTCAGGTGAAGCATTTGGTGTCTCCCTTCTGCCCAGGTTTGAGAAGGAATGATGGGGGCTGCTGGCTCCTCTGGAACCCCAAACTCCCAGCCTTCTATCCCCATCCCCAACCCCAGCGCTCACTCAGCAGGAAAACTCCAGCCTCCAGGCCTGAGCGTGTGACCAGTTCTTTCCTTTCAGACCTTAATGTACCCGCGCAGGGGGCGGATTTGCACCTGTGGTTCTCGGCAGCAACATGGCGCTGTGGACGGCCATGAGGCGCGTCCCAGAAGCTCTGTGCTGCCTGGGGCTTTGAGGAGCCTTTCTCCTCCAGAGAAGCCCCTTCAAGGAGAGCCCGTGGCCTCCCCAGACACTTTGGTCACCTCCCCAGGCTGAGAAGAAGGGTTGTGGGGGGTAGGGGGAAGCACAGGGTCAGGCAGTGACTGGTGACTGTTTTCACATCCTCCCAGGTAGGCGGACCCCGAGGGTGAGTCCCTGCTCCCCAGAGCACATGCTCCACATCACAACTTAAGCGACAGCCATTGCTTTCCTTGTTGGGGAAGTTCTGGAAGGATGAAAGTCTGATCCCCCTGGCTGCTCCACAGGCCTCCTCTGCCAAAACATACTGTGAAATGACCCCCGACCTCCACCTCATACTTTCTCTGCTCCACCTCCCGTCAGCCCTGTTTGCTCCTCTCCTCCCCGGAGAGGGTTAGACAGCTCGGTAATTTAGGGATCACCAGCAAGAGAGGTGCAGAGGTCAGAAGTCAGCGAGGGGCTGGGAGGGGAATGTCACCCCCGCTCTCCGGCGAGCCCCCCTCCTCCTAGAGCCCACCTCTTGCCACCATCTGCTGACCAGGCCCCCGCGGGGCTGGGAAGGTAGGGACCAGGGCTGGGGCTAGGGCTGGGAAGCGCTGGTGTACAGATCCGAGGGGAACATGTGTTTTTTAATCCTGCCCCGAAAAATAACTCAAGATGCAAATGTACGCCTCCAAATTTCTTATTTGGAAACTTTGCTAGGAAAGGAAAGCCTACATTCCCCTGAGAAGCCGGCTGGTGTTGGAAGTTCTTTCTACGATCTCACTTCAGCTCCTCCCTGCTCCAGCTGCTACGTGAACAAAAGCTAAGCTACCCAGTCTCGGTCCTTTCTTTCCACGGCCTGTTCAGTCTAGCTCGGCACTTAGCTTGGCTCCAAACGCAGTGAGCGGCTCAACCCCTCCAGGGGAGACGAGAAGCCAGCTCAGGTCTCTTCCTTGAGAAATCAGGACCACCAAAAATCCACGAGATCAAGACCTGAACTGAAATCAAAAGTCAGATGCTTAACTGACTGCAGTTCCAGAGCTACTAAAAGTGCTTTGCTTGGCCCACACAAATGGAGTTTTTTGGAAGTTCCGTTTACGGAAGGTTAGCTCTAGAAGGGCCTTGCAGTGGCATCTTCTGCTGGTTGGTGGTGGAAACGAGAGCCCTTCTGCTATCCCCTGCAGTTATGAGAAGGGAAAGGGGCTTGAAGACCGGTCTTGGACTGAGCAGAGTGCGGAGGGCGTTTGCATCCAGCATGGCTGGGTTCTTGCCCACCGCCCCCCGGGGAGGGGCAGCTCAGCCGGGCTCTGGGAAGAATCTGCTGCTGGGCGGCCTAATGAATTAATAGAACTTCACAGGGCGGTCACCTCCCTGGCTGGGGGAGCCAGCCGAGGCCAATGGGCTGGGATCAGAAGAAGGGACACTTGCTCCCGCCAGGCTTTCTCCATGTGTGGAATCCGGCCGGGGCTGCCGACCTCCTGGCCCAGAAAGAGAGCCTCTCCTCTCTTCCTCCCATGGACCTGGAGGAATTGGGAAGGCTGAAGCCAGGGTGGAAGGGGGCGGGATTTATTCAGTCGGGTACAGGGAGTGAAAGCTCCTCTGGGGCTCCCTTCCCCTCCAGGGGTGAGGTCAGAAGAATAAAGGTCACAGATGGACCTGCCATTGGATGAGAGAGGCACATGTGTCCCTGTGCGCCCGGGAAGGAAGGGGGGTGGGGGCGCCAGGGTCTGACGACTCAGACAGGGGAGAAGTCACCGATGGTTTAGAAAGCAGACAAGGTTCATCCTGAATCCGGAGCAGGGGGCAGTTGGGCCCTCTGAAATCACTTTCTTGAATGTCACTAACATTTCATTTCACCCTCCCTTTGCCTTCCTGTCTACTTCTTCCTCTCCCCGCCCCTCCTTCCGCAGCAGGGGATAAAGAGCAGAGGGAACCGGAGGAGAGGTCTGCAGGGCCTCTTTGACTCTGCTGACCATCAGCGGCCATGAGATGCTGCCCACAGGAGAGAAACGGGAGTGGCGGAGACCGAGGGGGCTGCAGCATGAACCCGCACTGTGTGCCCCCCCCACCCCGTCCTGCTGCCTCCAGGTCCCAGGCTGCAGGTGGGGAGCCGGGCCAGGTGGCGGGGGCGGCGGTGGGAGGAGGGAGGGGAGGTGTCAGAATGTCACAACTCTTCTGTTCATTTTGCCAACCTGTATGCTTTCTTTAGACCTTGGGTCTCTTTGCTGGTAGGAAGCTCATCAATTTGCCTGGGGAGGAGGGGGCGGCTGCCTGAGGCGGAGGAGGGATTCAGGTGGCAGCTACAGCCAAACGGGTTTTGCAATGATCCCCTGCCTCCCATCCCCACCTCCTGCTTCAGAAACAAGCATGGTATATCAAGGGCAATCCTACATAAGGTGGGTGTAGTGTCATTAGCCTGACTTACTCATCACACCCGGGGGCCTCCACTGGAGCGGGCGTGGGCAGGGAGGGGGACGGGGGACATGGACTGGGGATGAGGCAAGCGGTTACGCTTCAGTCAATTTTGAAAGTTGTTGACATGATAGAGATGGAATGAGAGATGCAGAGCCAGATACTGGGCACGCCCAGCTAAGCCTGCCACCCAACTCACTCAGGGGCCCAGCTGCTTAACCCACGTCAAGAGGTCCCCTGGTGGGGAGAAGTCAGGAAGAGCACATGCGCACATACATACACACTATGCAGTCTCCCGCACGTGCATGTGCACACATACTTCGCACACACACACGCACACACAGGTGCATGCACACACACACCACACACACACATAAATGCACAAACACACACATACACACACACCACGTAGTTCCCGGGAGATTCTGGAAAGGATCTTTGGCCCATTCTCAGTAAGCCTCAGCTGTTCCTCCAGGATCTGGCGGGGGGTGGGGGGGTGGGGAGGGGGGGTGGGGAGGCCCAGCAGATGGTCCCAGCTAAGCAGGCAAGTCTCCCAGTGCCTCTAAAATCAGGGTCTGGGCCCCTCCAAGGCCAACAGTCCAATTAAGCTTTGTTCCCACAGGTGGAAAGCAAATGAATTCAGAGCCATTCCTTTCGTTCTTTCGGGCATCAAGCCCTTGGGCCTCACCCCCTCCCCCTCGGCATCCTTGCAATTTCCCATATGGACTCCTTGCCTCCCACACTCTGCTCTGAAGATTAGGTTACTCAGGGATCACAGACCCCCAGAAAGATTTCCTTCCAAAATGTCCTCTAGACCGCAGGGACCTGCCTGAATAGTTCAAAGGAAAACTTGGGGCTCAGAGGCTTGGCCTCCACTAGGGAGCTTCTCTCGGTCCCGGACGGGGCCCCTGGGGATGAAAGCCAAAGCTCCCTGAACCTTCTGTGATGTTCTCTTTTCCTTCTCCCAAGGGCCTGGAAGAGCTGCAGGGAGATCCTGGTGCTGTACTCTTCTAGAGCCGTCTCCTCCTCCCTGCAGAGCTAATAGGCATGACTGGCATGAATATATCCATACATCTTGCTATAAATATACACATCTTTAGTTATATATATCTTTTCTTCTAAAGACTTGGCAAGAATTCCCTAGAAGCCTTTTCCATGACACAATAGAAAACCAGCAGAGTCATCGGTTTGATGGTTCCCACAAACACAGCTTCGGGTTGACCTTCGCAAAGCTCCTTTGAACTCGGCTTCCCATAACTGAACCCCTTCAGCCCTCACTGGCCTCCCATACCCTGGCAACCACAAAATAAAGCTCAGTTTCCTGAAACTGCCACTTCATTCCTTGTTGGCCTCTGTCTGAAAGCAAAAAAAAAAAAAAAAAAAAATCCATTGCTTTTGACTTAGCTTAAAAAAAATATTAGGCTTAGTATCTGAGCTCTAGCTGGCAGCAGGAGGAATTAGCTGGGCAGCAGGATCCATGGCACTGAGGGACAGTGTGGGTAAGGATGAGGTGCTGGCAGTTTCCAAGCAGGCTAGCCCTCTGCGGGCAGCATGATGGGGCCCGCTGAGTAGGCATCCATCAAGGCTTAGCAACCACTGGGGCGATGAGCAAAGATGTGGCAGGTCTCCCTATGACGGCTTCTAGAATAAACAGGAGAGACTCCAGGGTATAAGAACAGGGCTGGAAAAGCCACTCAGGTAATGACTTTCTACGGGATTTGTCATTAGGCACAGGTTCTGAGAACCCTATCTTCATCAGCCTGCAACAGCATTTGTTGGAAGGAGGCCCAGGAAAGGAGGAGGGAAAGACTGGCTCTTCCATCTCTCTCTCTCTTTTTCCCCCCCTCCACTATTGAAGGCTTGGGTGGGTGGAGACGGCCCATGAGACTTTTCTTTGAGGCACGAAGATCCTAGCCACAGGTTGATACCATAGTTGATCCCGAAACAGGTTTTCTTTTCTTGATTTTCAAAGTGGGGGTTGGAAGAGGGGATTCGTAAGTAGAACGTGGAAAGTGCAAAGGAGAATCAACAGAGAAATGCAGAGAAAACGTAATTTGGCAAAAACCAAACAAATTTCAAACCCACAACTCTACCTCCTGTAGCCATTCTTGCTTAGCATTCTTCTTCTTTTTTTTTTTTTTTAAGTTGGGCTGTTATCTTTGCAAGGGAGAATGCCAGCGGGTGTTGCAGGCAGCTGTTTGATATTGTGTCAAGAACGTCTTTCAGGAAGGGAGGCTTGGAGGCAAGGGGCGGTGATGGAGAAAATGGTGTGGGGGAAGGAGGGGAGGGCCCCCACATCTGCAGAGAGGTAGCTAAAGAATGGAGCGCTGCTCTGAGAAAGGCAACATGATTTCGTACAAAATTCTTCCTGTAGGAAGTAAGGGGGAGGGACAAGAGGCCTATTTCATTTGGCGGACCTAAGAATTTTGAGCTGGAATTACTGCAGCTCGCTGTGTCTCTGGGCAGATATCTTTGCTCCTCTACTTGGCGTCTCCCACTTTCTCCTTTATTGTGAGTGACTGTCATGAGAATTAAGTGAAAGGCCCGGGAGTCCCTTGGAGACGGATCCCAGCACACTGTAGGGGTGATGAGCCCTGCAGTTATTCCACATCTGGAAAAGGTAATGGCTCCCAGGCTGGCAGGGGGGTGCCCAAGACCAGCGACAGGGAGATGTGTTTTGTTACCTTGCTGATCTCTGTTCCACGCTGTGTGAGAGGCTGGCTTTGGAAGGCGGCAGGGCAGCAGCCACAGAGCCTAACAACCAGGATGCATTCCTCAGAAACCCCCCGAAGTCTGACGTTCTTTTCTGCTCTGTGCTTACAGCTTTGTTCCCTCCAACTGACCTCATGGAGGCAAACCTAGAGTCTCACCCATCAAAAACCTTCCTGGGCAGCCGGAACGGTGGGAAGAGGTCCCGGGGTCCTCTGCCCTCCCTGAACCTTGGCGACCCTTCCTGTTGGGACAATGACCAACATTTTGTGCAAGGTCCTCACGGGGTTTTTTTTTTTTTTTTTCTTCCACCTGCAAGGCGGTGGAGGAAATACCAGGCCACATATTCTTGTAAATAACCTACAGATTTCAGGTTCTCTCTCTAGGGCCTTGCTCATGCTAGGTTTCTGTTTTTGTTTTTTTGTTTTTTTTTTTAAAGATTTTATTTATTTGACAGAGAGAGACACAGCGAGAGAGGGAACACAAGCAGAGGGAGGGGGAGAGGAAGAAGCAGGCCCCCGCCAAGCAGAGAGCCCGATGCGGGGCTCGATCCCAGGACACTGGGATCATGACCTGAGCCGAAGGCAGACGCTTAACGACTGAGCCACCCAGGTGCCCCCTGTTTTTGTTTTTAATGGGGGTGGCATTTTAACCTACCACCACATAGGTTATCTATGAACCTGATGGGGAGAAGGGGCTAGGCTTTGGGACAGCAGGGAAAGCAGGTAACTGTAATCGCCCTGGTCCCAGGACAGTCAGGGTACAATGGTGGTCAGCAACAGAAGTGTGTCCTCAGGGTCTGAGGCTACTAGTAAGATGGAGGGGGTGGAGGAGAGGAGAGCACTGACCCCTTATATCTGTGCATCAGTGTGCAGTTTTCCAGATGCTTCCACACGTACTATGTTTCACTAAATCTGCCTTTTAATCCTGTGAAGCAGGAACCAGAATGATCACCATCTCCCTTTTACAGATAAGGGACCAGGGTGACTTCCCCGAGGTCGTGGCTGTATGGTTAAGGGCTAAAGCCCAGACCACTCACTCTCCCCAGCTCCATGCTGCTTCATGGCCAGAACCTCTGAGAGAAGGATGCACCATGTCCTGTCTTCAGGGGAAATGGGAAGGAGGCAAACACATCCCATGCCTTCAAATAGATTGTAGGTACCTGAGGAAACGGCCCTCGTTCTATGGTCCTTTACATCCCCTGTGGCCCATAACCCACAGTCTTCCAAAAGTGTGGTTTGAATGGCTACTTTGGGTTAAGATATAAGGAAGGACACAAGGGAACCAAGGCATCATTAGGAGTTGTGAACTTTGAACCACAAAACAAGGATTTATGTCAAAGGCTCCAAGATTTACTGACTGAATAATCCATTGGGAATTTTGTGTACTGCATCTTCTAAGTGGAGGTAAGAATATCCACCTCTAGAACTGCTATCAGAATGGACAGAGATGACAAATGGACAAGTATACTGCATACTGTGATGCATCCAGTTGGATCTTCCTGACCCTGACATTCAGGGGGTCACAGGTAAGATAGCAAGAGATAAGGAAAGTCCTCTTCTGAGGGTCCTTGGAGCATTGCTCATGCCCTCCTGCCCCAGGTGGGTTGAGGGTCATGTGTCCACAATGGGAGGGTGGGCTACGGTGGTGGGGAGAGCTAGGGGTCTGGTGCATGGTAGGCTTTCAGTGAATGGGTATCCATTCTATAAAATCCTCTATTGTGAGAGGCACTAGGAGAAGGGCAAAGGGACAGTGGTGAAGACAATAATTGAGGATCCTGAGGATCCATCCCAGTCTTGGGGTCTTTTTTTTTTTTTTTGGTAGGCTCCACACCCAGCATGGAACCCAACATGGGGCTCGAAATCATAACCTGAGATCAAGACCTGAGCTGAAATCAAGAGTCAGATGCTTAACTGACTGAGCCACCCAGTCGCCCGAGCCTCAGAGTCTTAAATGATTTCCTCTTTAAAATGTATGTCTTCTGAACAGACATTTCTCCAAAGAAGACATCCAAATGGCCAACAGACACATGAAAAAATGCTCAACATCACTCGGCATCAGGGAAATACAAATCAAAACCACAATGAGATACCACCTCATACCAGTCAGAATGGCTAAAATTAACAAGTCAGGAAACGACAGATGTTGGCGAGGATGCGAAGAAAGGGGAACCCTCCTACACTGTTGGTGGGAATGCAAGTTGGTGCAACCACTCTGGAAAACAGTACGGAGGTTCCTCAAAAAGTTGAAAATAGAGCTACCCTATGACCCAGCAACTGCACCACTAGGTATTTACCCCAAAGATACAAATGTAGTGATCCGAAGGGGCACCTGCACCCCAGTGTTTATAGCACCAATGTCCACAATAGCCAAATTATGGAAAGAGCCTGGATGTCCATCAAAGATGAATGGATAAAGAAGATGTGGTATATATATACAATAGAATACTACTCAGCCATCAAAAAAAATGAAATCTTGCCATTTGCAACAACGTGGATGGAACTAGAGGGTATTATGCTAAGTGAAATAAGTCAATTAGAGAAAGACAATTATCATGATCTCACTGATATGTGGAATTTAAGAAACGAAACAGAGGATCATAGAGGAAGAGAGGAAAAAATAAAACAAGATGAAACCAGAGAGGGAGACAAACCATAAAAGACTCTTAATCATAGGAAACAAACTGAGGGTTGCTGGAGGGGAGGGGGGTGGAGGGATGGGGTAACTGGATGATGGACATTAAGGAGGGTATGTGATGTAATGATGTAATGAGCACTGGGTATTACATAAGACTGATGAATCACAGACCTGTACCTCTGAAATAATATATTATATGTTAATTAATTGAATTTAAATTAAAAAAATAAAATAATTATAGTCATAAAAAATGGTATGACTTCTGAAAGAGCCAACTGCTGCCACTGCTTAATGCTTCCATGCCATTCTTTGGGTCCCTGCTGAGCTGATGGGTAAATACGGATGACTCGTACTCACATGATCACACCAGGGGAGGTGGTGGTGGCTGTGGTCTACGTCGGCTGACTCACTCCAGAGACAGGGCAAGATGTCAGTCCTGGGCTTGATTCAGGCGCCTGGCCTGACCTACACACAGGGCCCCTGAGGAGACTCAGAGCAGAAAGGGAGGCCCACCAGGAGGGTGCGCTGACTAACCCTTCCCATCTGTTTGAGCCCTGGAAAAAGCCAAGCTGGGGCTGAGGCAGGGGGAGGTGCATATTGGCTAGCGATTCCCCAGTACTTCTTCTTTGCCAAGCACCGTGCGAAAAGATGGGACATACCTGACCTCATCTAATGGTCAAAGCACCCTGCAAGGTAGGTATCATCATTCTCACTTTGCAGATGAAGAAACCAAAGCTTGGTGGCTAACCAATTTCTCCAAGATCGTCTCCCTAGTAGGTGGCAAAGATAGGATTTGAAACAAGGTGGTCTGATTTCAGAGTCCACACTCTTCCCATTACACACGCTGCCCCTGTCCAAACAGTTCACCAGGCAGGAGCTACCAATAAAATACCACACCTCCTACAGTCCGCACTGAATCAGCAAGAGAAGCTGGAGGCTGGCAGAGAGCAGATCTTTATCAAGACACCTCGGGAGTAGGAGAAATAT